CAGTTTATGTTCTTTGGTCTTCCTCTCCTCCTTCGACCTTGATGATTCCATGTGACGGCTTGCCTTGTGACGCAGTAGGGTGCTTATCTAAATGTGTGTCCTATCCACCTCCGAAGCTTCTTCCTGATTTCTTCCTCCACTGGGATCTGATTCGCTCTCTTCCACAGTAGGTTGTTGCTGGTAGTGTCTGGCCAACGGATCCGAAGTATTTCGTGTAGACACCTGTTAACAAACACCTGTATCATCTGGATGATGACTTTTATAGTTCTCCAGATTTCGGCCCTATACAGTAGAACTGTCTTGACATTTGTATTGAAAATTCTGACTTTGGTTTTTGGTTGCCAATTGTTTTGAGTTCCAGATGTTCTTCATTTGTAAATATGCTGCTCTTGCTTTGCCGATCCGTGCCTTCACATCTGCATCAAATCCACCGGGTTCGTCGATGATGCTGCCCAAATATGTAAAGGTTTGTACATCTTCCAAATCTTCCCCGTGATGGTGGATCTAATTTCGTATTACTGTTATATGTTTGTTCTTGTTGCTCCATTCAGATCCAAATGTTCACTCGAATGTCAGTTGATCGATCTTTTGACGGATCAGTCTGTTTTTGGATGGATATTGAGTTAAATTATTCACTGAGAAGGAGTAGTCTGAAATGAGGAGCGTGGCGGTAGGTGTGAATTGTCTTCAGTCTTCAGTCTTCAGTAATAAAGATAGTAGGTTAGTGAACCTGTGTTAATCCTAACAGGTTGGCTTCCTGTGAAGTTCCAGTTTCTCTTTGAAAATATTCACTGATGGGGCTGATACCACTTGATCGGGCAAAGCGTTCCAATCATTGACTACTCGATGAGAAAAACGGAACCACACCTTGAGTTTATTAGATCGTGGTTATGAACCTTCTTGCTATGACCTCGGAGATTATTAGTGCTGGAGGGAGCAAAAAGATAAGACATATTAACACCCAAATCATAATTAAAGGTACGAAATGACGTAACGTGTTCTTTGGTCTTCCTCTCCTCCTTCGACCTTGATGATTCCATGTGACGGCTTGCCTTGTGACGCAGTAGGGTGCTTATCTAAATGTGTGTCCTATCCACCTCCGAAGCTTCTTCCTGATTTCTTCCTCCACTGGGATCTGATTCGCTCTCTTCCACAGTAGGTTGTTGCTGGTAGTGTCTGGCCAACGGATCCGAAGTATTTCGTGTAGACACCTGTTAACAAACACCTGTATCATCTGGATGATGACTTTTATAGT